TATCAAGGATAAGTTTCAAACTTTCAGAATGCTATACACGGCCTTAAGCAAGTGTCCATTGGAATTTACGGCCACGCACCAATATTAATAACCTAATTTATTTTGCAAGTATCGGAAAAAGAAGTCATCTTTGCCCGGAGATATCGACTGTCCTCACAATCCTGTCAACAGTCAAGTTCCCTCAAACAGACTGACATAATTATGTCGTTTAAACGGCAACATAGGACCCGGCATGACTGCATAGTGGTTGAAGTTGCCACACCTCATATCAGCACATCAAGTGACAGCTCAGGAGGATAAAGAAATTGTAGAGAAAGCAGCAAAAGGTTACCAAAAGAGCAAAGTGCAGTGAGACAATCAAATGCAATATATCTATTGTGATGAGGATAATGTATGCATACATCTCAGCCATGCCGCCTGGAGTCACCAATCATTGGTTTCTATTGTCCTACAGACCTGACGAACATGGTTTCGAAGGTCCTAGGTTCTATAATTCTTCGACGCTTGAGTGGATCTCTGGAACAGCAAGCCCGAGAAAACCAGACAGGCTTTAGACCCGGCCGCGGGTGTATCGACCAAATATTCACACTGCACCAGGTTCTGAAACATAGACACGCTTACCAACGTTCTCGATCTGAAGGCGGCAGCATTTGACTCCGTTGATCGAGAAGTATTATGGCAATATATCTCACGGAAAGGCGTGCCGAGTAAGTACATCACCTTATTGAAGGCTCTCTACTCGAATACTTGTGGGCGTGTTAGAGCCTATGGTGAGATGTCCGCGGAGCTGTGCTCATCGAGTGGTGTCCGCCAAGGGTGTCCACTGTCTCCATTCTTATTCAATTTTATAATAGATATTTTTATGGAGGTCTCCCTCCCGTCACCAGGTTACACAGACGTTGACCAAATCACAGGGGAATTTTTGTTAGACCTGGAATATGCAGATGGCATAGTCCTGTTAGGTGAAGACGCTGGCAAGGTTCAGAGTCTTCTGAACACTTTGAGTGGGAATTTGAGAATGTTTGCGATCCGGTCCTCACCACCCAAATGCAGATTGTTGCTCCAGGATTGGTCTTCAACGGTGCTACGGCTAACAATAGAGAGTGTAGTGATTGAGTGTGTCGACGACTTCGCTTACCTGGGAAGTAGGATCAGCCCTGCCATGGTCGCTCAGTGGCCGATAAAATCTCGGCACGAATAAAAAGGGCTCGGCTGGCTTTCACCAACTTACTCCACCTATGGCGTCGCCATGATATCCGATTGTCTATTGTGGGTCGCGTGTACTTCGCAGCAGTTCGCTCTGTTCTAATGTATGGCTGTGAAACATGGTCATTGAAGGTGAAAGATACGAGAAGGTTTCAGGTGTTTGACCACCGTTACCTTCGTAGTATAGGTCGTATTCCGTGGTGTCACCACGTGAGTAACGCAGAAGTCAGGTGTAGGGTTTTAGGAAGTAGAGGTAAGTCAGTTGACAAGTTAATGAACCTTCATCGACTGAGATGGTACGGACGCATAATGCGTATGCCTAGTCGCCGATTGCCTCATCACACAATGTTGGCCGAAGTAGGCCAAGGCTTGGAAAAGGCCCGAGGTGGCCAGACTAAAACATGGCACAAATGTATGAAGTCTTTGACTGTTGGTTTGAGCCATGTGGGACAATGGAGACTAGGTGGTTGGGGTCCGCGGGACAACAGGAACCAGTGTTTGGAGACTGGATGATATGGTTGAGAACCGATGTCAGTGGCGCAGATGTGTACACACATTATCGTCGTCTTAACGATGCTATACGGAATCTCATTTACTTATTCTTCCTTTCTTTTCGTACTTTATATTTCTTTTGACTGAATTTCCTTATCATCATCTTGGACCTCATTTCCTTTTTACTTGATGTAGTGATATGAGTTGTGATAACGCGGACCATTACACAGTAATGCCTGGTCTTATGTTGATATTGATGATGATGATGACTACCGGGAAGACTGCATTTCCCTAGACAACTCAACGATGACTAAGCATGCGTAACGCGTGTCCCACCCACCTCAGTCGATTGGGGTTCACAACCTAACAAGGTGGCTTCCCTCTTCTGCCTAAAACCTTACACTTGACTTCTATCTACATCACTAAGATATTGAGACCATGACATATGGCCAATGCAATGCCATTAATAGTGATCTAGCACTTAAAGCCTTCATATGACAGCCTTTAGTGAACTTTTTTCACTGCCATGTTTTAGAACAAGGCGAATTGCAGCGCAGTACACTCCTGATAAGCAATCAGATATCGTGGTGGCAGCACTAAATGGTATAGATTGGAGAAAGTCAGGTGAGCCTTTTGTTATCCTTGGTGAAATTTCGTCAGCCACTGGCCTACCAGGCTTAGTCTGACTTTCTAAGTGAGTGAAGTGGTTAACGTGTTGAACCACTTGACTCTCTTTTGTTAGACAACGCACCACTGAAGACCTTATCACTGTTGACCTTCGACATCTTTTCCTAATGATCTGTCTTCACAGCTTTCAATTTTTATACGTTATCTTTAACTTCTACCAGCTCCACGGTCAGTAATAACGATTGGAGTTCAAGGAGCAACGTCCACGTCACCCTAAGACTCCTCTATAAACTGCATATCAGAACTTTCAGTGTTCAAACTCTTTTTTAAACACCAGTTGATTTTATTTATTATCTGTGTCTGATAGAGTACAGTGAAGAATAAAAGCCTTCAAAATGCATTAATATTAGTTAGTAGTTTTGACTCACTTGATATTCAACCAGTCGTGGGTTTGAATTCCGTTCCTCCCACTTTGGGATAGGTAAGCAAGTGGCATCCTAAGTCGTTACCTGTTTATTTTGGGTAATAGTTTAGTACGGTAAACCTTTTCTGATTCTTTGAACCTCATTTCATTTTCACTTTTAGTCAGGAAAGCTTTTTATCCACCCAAGCGTCTAATTGCTTTATATTAAATATTGATAAGCAGCTCTTGATCAGATAAACTTGGTGCCTTCAGAAAACATCCAGAAGGCTCTAAAAGTTATGGTGTATGATGTTCAGGTACATGAACATTGCCTACATCATCTATGATGACCTATTTGCCACCAGTCATCACAATTTCGGTTGTATTGGATTTATTTAGTGAAGAAACGACGTGGGATAAAATAAACGTATGACTGCACAGAGTTGCATCAGTTCAATTCGCTACGCTTCACAGTAGTATACAAAGAACAAATGGATAGGAGAAGAGTGATAACAAAAGAGACAAGCTTGTGTGAGAGAATAAACAATTTGGAGATGATGTTTAGTACAGATGTTGAAGCTATGGAAGAATCATCATCATCATCATCATTATCAACATAGGACCAGGCATTACTGCGTAACGGTCCGAGTTGCCACACCTCATATCAGCACATCAAGTAAAAAGGTAGTGAGGTGAAGGATGAAGATAAGTGAATGCAGTCAAAAGAAATATAAAGTACGAGAAGAAAGGAAAGAGGAGTGACAAATAGTGGAAGAATCCAAAGAGTGAATACATCTGCACCATTGTGACCGCTTTTCTGCCATTTCACCACGATTCCTCGAACGCTGATGGATGTTGTCTGGGGGACTACAGCCAGGCAGTCCACACCTCGCTACATGTCTCACGCCGACAGTCCAAGACTTGATCGACTCTATCCACGTCGTGGTTTAGCTGCCCTGAGCCTTCTTCCAACCTACTCCCATTTCTATCATTACGCGTCGAAGTCGGCAACTGTGCAGCGTACGCAACACATGTTCAAGCCACCTCAGTCAGTGAATGTTCATAAACTCGTCGACTGACCTGTCTTCTTTGCCTAGTACTCTTCACCTGATATCTGGATTGTTCACACGATGATACTACCATAGGTGAACAATTCTTCTAAGACGACTCTGGTCAAAACCTTACCTTCTACCTTCAGCCACCAAGTCTCACAGCTGAACAATAGGACGAAGTGAACTATATGCTCGTCCTTCAATGGGTAATCGGATGTCTCTCCAATCGGCGCCCGAGATGACACAGGGTGTAAATGCTAAACGGCTTTCTGTATTCGAGCTGAGATTTGGTCAGCAACCAGCCCATTCGGTCGGATGCAGATTCCCAGGTAAGTTAATTAGTCCACGCACCCAACCATTTAACTCAGCCTTAAACTAAGAGCAGTTGCATACCAGTCCTGAAGCTTCATTTGATATTTGACATGCTTAGGTTTCCACTCATGGGGTTCGAAAGACGCTGCATTTTGTCGGCGTTAGTATGATAATATCGTGTGCGTCCTCCAAGTCAGTCAAGTGCCTTCATGGGAGTAGATCACTCTCTGTGAAGTTATAAGTACCTAAGGTTATTTCCATCAGTGCATCTATAATGAAATTAAACAGGAAGTGATAGAAAGCATCTCTGGTGTACACCAGTTCAGATGGCAACTCTCCATAATCTCTTACGTACGTTCGAGTGATGAGCTTTGATCAGCGTTATACACCTCGGTGCTCGTTTCACAGTCAGAGATAGACACCACCTCACTGTCGACAGAATAGAATGCCACATTCAGGTCCGCTGGTAAGTATGCATGTGTTCGAGAACTTCTCAAAGGGTGGAGATTCGATCGATAAAGCCTTCTCCAAGCATGGAAACTACCTGGTTTTCTCGTGTTTATTATCCTCGAGCCCCAGTTAGGTGTCGGATAACTATGGGCCCCATGATCTGGGACACGATGTTAGTCATGAAACTGACTTTCCTGCTGTCATCACAGGAGGACTTCTATCTTGGACGAATGATCAATGAAGTAGACCAGTCTGATAACATTACCTCTGACTACTAATCGCTACTTCTTAGCTCCATTAATCTACTCAAATTATTTTCTACTTCATTCTGTAGAAACTAGTGGTGGGAAACCGTCAGGTCCAGCTGCTTTAGATCGTTTCAGGTTCGAAACAGCCTTCTCAACTTCAAGGAGAGTTGGAAGACCGATATCCACACCCTATTCAAGGTCAGGCTGGATGTTGGGCAACTGAAGCGTTTCTGTGCTCCATTTCAAATGACTTTCAAAGTGTTCTGCTCAGCGTTCTAGCCACCTGTCGTGAGAAACTGTCAGCCTCATCATTTTCGGTGATGGTTTCACTTGCTATTGTTTATTTCTTTCCTGTATCCTTAATAAGCCTAAATAGTTGCCGGGTGTTACCTGACGCTAATGCCTTCTCCACCTCTCTCGCTTTCGCCAGCCACCACTGCTAGTGTTCGTTGTGGAGACCCTTGGTCAGTTTGTGTTTGAGCTGCTTTCGCTCTTCATTGTGGCGGAGCCAGCTAGAATGAGTCTTCTCGCATCCGTCATTTCTGATGAGGTTGCAGAAATCCATTGGCGTTTGGTAGCTTTGGAATTAGGTTACGAACTGTTCTTGCCGCTGTTTCTACTGTCTACTTAATATTGCGCCATGTTTCCTCAGGATGAGCAATGCTGTCAGTTCAGATAGATGCTTAACTATCTCTACCTAACTACGTATTTGGTGTTCTTATCTTCTTATCGAGCATAGAAAGGCTTTATTGCTACCTGTTTTCTGTGAGCAGTGATGCGCAGATACACATGTGTCCGAACATAGTGTATCTGTGTCCATTTTTGGTTTGATTTCGGCGGACGCCATGTGAAATAGTGTGTCTCTCCGTATGCTTGAAGTTAGTGCTGTGGACCATTACTCTAGGTGACTGACTTCCAACTCGAGAGTTACTGGTTCGAACTGCACTCTACCTGTCAATGTTTGGGCAGTCGAGTAGTATCATTAGCCGTCACACAATAGGTGTGGTTCGTTGCCTACTACATGAATGTGCACAATATTTCTAGTTCATTTCGCTAAGGGACAATGTGAATGGTTCTGGTCGGAGATCATAGGTATTGTTATTCACCAAGCAGGATGATTTTGCAACGCTGTTTGCGTTGGTGAGACATGTTCCTGGAATGTCATTTCAGCAGCTTTCAGTTGAAATATTCGTGAGTTCTGAAGGAGAGAGAGGGAGATGTGCTGTCATTTGTGGTTCAGCAACCAGCTCAGTGATGAGGCTAAGGTGGGGTTTTCTTTGTAAATGGACAGTAGGACATCTAAAATCAAATTATTTCGTAAGTGAAGACTTTTTCGATGATTTCGTAACAATATAATATGGTATATTGAACCAGGTTTTTTGTTCTAAGTGAAGATACTTTAAGACTTTTCATTCATCTGAGTTCATCACAGGTTTTCAACCACCGATGTGGTGAAAACTATTACTTCATTGTCAATAGTTGTTAACCGCTAGTTAGCTATAATTCGACATAAATTTAAATTAGATCGGATGTTTTCCATAGACATTAGATGTACAATGTCTGGGGATCAAATTTATTTTACGTGACTAAGTTTAGTGCTACCGTTACTTCTGTGAGATTCACGTGGCAGTTGATAATTTCTCCAACGTTTCTGTCGTGAAGCAGCTTGAAATTTAAGACGACCACACCCAATGAACGATGATATTCGTCACGAACAAAACATACGCCTCCTCATTTTAAGGTTACTTACATGATGTTTTCACCGGGTGTAGTTAACTTCTACAGAGATGACGATGACTGAAGATGCATAGTCTTTAGATATCCTCAGCTGAGACGTGTGAGGTTTCTCAGGTGTGAAGCAGAACTGACGACATGCTGGATATCCTATAGAAGTGATGGCGTCAAAAGTGACCTAGATAGGTATATATCGTCCTGGCTGTCAATATACGGTTGGAAATGCCATGAGTCTTGTCTCCACCACCAGCACTTACACAAGTACCCAGGTGCATGAACATTTTGTTAACTTGCAACGAATCACCACCACCAGACACTGTGCACTTTGACGATACTAAGGTCGTGTCATACGGAGAGTGGTCGCCCACTCGTTTGAGTGTAATTTGAGTAGACTGTATGTTGTCTCAAAATGAAACAATATCGTCGACATACTCGAGGTGTAAAAGTCTTCCATGTGGTAACAGGTGTGGACCACTGCCAGACACTTGCTTCAGGATTGTCACTAGAGTGTCGTCCATAACAAAGTTGAGAAGAAATGGCGAAATTGGGCAGTCCTGCCTGAAGATACTATTGGTTTAGGAGAAATGAGTTAGGTTACTGTAAGCCTTTACTCTTTTGGTACTTGAAGCTAGTGTTTTTTTAACTGTTACATGCAGTTGTATGACCGTTGCGTGAAGTGTTTTAAAGCGAAATGTAAAGTTCTGGATAGAAAAGATGGGTTGGTAAGTGAATCTGTGAAAGTATACTACACAAGGTGGTTACATCAAGTTTCATTCATCACAAGATACTAGGTACTGAAAGTACGTTCGTAACTTGCATAGGTTGTGTAGAAGCTGAATGATCTTATACCATTATATGAAATCACAGATCCGATTTGGAGATTTAGAAGAGTGTATATTTTCTGTTAGTGTTCCTGTAAATGTTAGGAACCATAAGTTAGAGATACTAGTTTTTATATCCCTATAGTCACTTGTTATATTTTTGTATTGACTACTTGTTATAACCCTACTTAAATATATGTGTATGTCTGAACAGCAACTTTCGGATTCCACTCCTTGATGGTGGCTCAATTTCTTGATAAATGGAAAAGGTGGTAATATAACAGGTGTATTACAGCGTGAGAAATTTGTGCGAAATACAAGGGTTTATGTATATTTATAATGGCTTTGGGTATTTTCAAGCCTTTCTAGATTTAATTATCTTTTCGATTTTCGTCCTTCAAGCAATGTGGTAATTTTCACGTTGGTTCATGTGCTTTCTATTGAGACTTCGGTGCAGCATGATTGGTTGTCGAAAGCTTCAGAGATTGAAGACTTTTTATGACAATCTTATTGCAAACTATAACTCTAGGTGACGAGACTGAGAAACGTTAACTGGTGAGGCTATACTTACTCTCTGGTTATTTCTTATTACTTTTTGTTTACATGACCCTTTTCCACTTATAGTATTCTTCTGAGTTACTTCATTTGTTTTGTTTACTGTTATGAAGTGGATCAGTTGAGCCCGACATGATTTTGCAAAGCGTTTCGCGTTTTCGTACCTCCATTTATATCTACTTACATCCTTTCAGAAAAACCGTATAAAATTTAGACTTCTGAATTTTTCTTCTCAAACATACAGATGAATACATTCCCTAGATCAATTTCGTTCACCCGTGCATTCGGTATTTCTGTTCGATGCCAAAGTATTGCCAGTTCTACAAAAAAGCAAGCTAAACATAAGATTGTCATTGTGGGTGGTGGTTCAGGTGGTTGTGCAATGGCCAATCGTTTATGTAGTCATGTGGACATGGATCAAGTTGCTGTTATTGAGCCATCTACGGTGAGTACTTATCAAATGTGCTTGATAGCATAATTTTACTAAGTAGAGCATAACAGTTTGGCAGTTGACGAATTTCTTAAGACAGAAGCATCTTAAGGAGAGTCAGACTTTCCATCACACAGTGTATTTAGTACGTTAAAAAAGTTTGTAAGTCCGATGCTGTTATGCATGTTCTTTTTCATGTAGGAATTTGCAAGACATGGTACACGTTAGTCGGTCTTTTTGAAAAGATCACTTAGATGAGTGTGAGGTGCACCGTAAATGTTGAGCTTATACCTGACAGCTTCAAGATATGTACATTTAATAGGACCATAGGTCATAGCATACTATGCTAAGGCACTTCGTATCTGCTTATTAGAGTTCACTAAACTCAGGTTGACTTGTGGACAAGTGTACTTGAACTGTATTTGTATTTTGCCTGTAACCTTTTGGAACCGATACAATTTATGCAAAGAAACTGAGAAGTTTGAACGGTGCTTTCTGTGCTTGGTATACTGTGGATTTCGTGTAGGTGTCACCGTTAGTAACAATAATTACCTTTCAACATATTTAAACTCGAATTCACAGCATCCTAGTCCAATTATGACTAGTATTTGAGTATTGAATATATTCCATGTTTATCTTAGGACAGTAGTTTCCTGATATTTGGGTAAAAAGTAGACTTGTACACACAAAGTTCACCTATTTTTATTTCCTTTTCAAATTCAGACTCATTACTATCAACCATTATTCACTCTAGTTGGTGCTGGAATTAAACCGCTAAAAGAAGCGCATCGTCCTCTTCAAGAAGTTTTAACGCAAAAGGCGAAGTTGTATCAAGATAGAGTCACGCACATTGAACCAAAAGACTCATATGTTGTACTTTCGAATGGGGATAAAGTGAGTGGTGGCTTGTTATTTTGTGCAGAATGAGTTCTTAAAACATTCTTGTTAATATGATTATGATTAGTAGTAGTGTTTCCACCTTAATATTGTTTGTTAATGAAATGCAATCAGTTACTTTGTAAGTCTTGAATGTGGTAGGATGAATTGAAACAGCAGTGGGGTCTTTGACTCGTCAGTCAACTAATGGCAATGGGTGGTTTGATGTGAGGAAGTGTAATTTTGAATGAGGAGTTTTATGAAATAAGAGTATAGTTTTGAATGTGTTGAAGTTACTTGCTCCGAATAGTTGGCGCCGGTTTAGTATTCACAGTTGACATGTTTTCACCTTCTCATTTTAGTAAGACGGGGTTTAGAAATGATATACAGCCAACATTTTCACTACTCTTTGGGAGCGGGACCGAAGTTGAACGTAATTATCCTTAGATAAATCGGTATTAGCTCCTGTTGTTACTTACATATGACCTTTAGATTAGATTCTGGCTACTAGAAAAAAAAGTTATGGGAGAAATAATAAGGAGATGAGTTTGTACCTCTTCCTACTTGGTTTTTTACCAATGTACAATGCGGAGTAAGTGTTTCATATATTTGTAAGGTTTGTTTATCATCATTTATTAGCATTTCCTTAGTATGATATATGACTTTTCTGAAGGTCACTCACAATCGATGGTTTATATCTGTCAGTGACTATGTATTTTGGGACAGCACTGCCGAGGTTTAGGCTACTAGGTGGTGTCACTAGGCGTCAAATAATAGGTGTGTCTCATTGGCTACTTCACGGATTTGTACAGGTTGCTGAGCTCATTTCGATTCTATTGAATTAGACTCTGTTTTGCTGAGTAAAGTATACGTTTTATGTTGAAAAATATTTCTAAAACAGCTTGCTTTCCAGTCTGAAAGAACGAAGGGTATTTGTAATGTTTGTGTTTTACAAAATAATTGTTCTCTTATCTTCTCAGATATCATACGACTACCTCATTCTGGCTCTTGGAATGGATTTACGTTTTGATAAGGTAAGTTTGTGAAGACTAGTTTCAAGATTTATCCTCCCTTTGTTATTATGTTCAGTGAAATGTTTCATATTCTCAAAATTAGGTATCCTTAGTAATGGTTACTGCATGTCTTGGATTTCACAAGTTCGTTGGTTGTTTATTGGATGTCAGTCGAAGTAGAAGTAATATGGAGAAAGAACCTCTTCCGGGTCATATTGAGAGTTTGGTAATTTTGAACCTTCAGATGTGATGCTTCGAGGAATGTGAACAGTGGTAAATTGACTGAAAACTGACACCGCTGGTAAAGATGCATTCTCATATACATATATATATTCTCTCTAAACGCGTTTCATTTTAATTGGTTCTCATTTGTTGTACTGTTTTGTAGTTTAGTAATAAGGTGAACTAATGCACTGAATTGTTAACTGTAACCCATCCACTCACTCGTTTGTATACATGTGAAGACTATTCTACATCACTCGAACAATTCAGTTAGTCAGTCTATGAGGATACAATCTAGTACTACTGTGTAACGGTCCACGTTTCCATACCTTAAATCACTACGTCGGAACAAGACAGGAATCGAAGAAAGGTAGTTAGAAGATGTAGAGTGTTGTCAGAAGTGAGGGAGATGGATAGTATGATACGAAAGATATCACAATTATGATGAGTCTCTCTAAACTTGGTCATTTTCTATTATAAAAGTGTTCGTCATATATTTCCAATTTTCAATGTTCTAACACTGTGACAATAAATATAAATTCGAATCACGACTATACCTCAGTGTAGTTTACATCAGTAACTTCTTATTTAAAAATGAAAGGAACAATTCTAAGGTGTTTACTCCCTATCAATTCCAAACTCTTTATAGAATTAAGGCATGATAGACGGCAGATTGCAGTGGTAGGTTTTATTCAGATTATGGAATACTGAGTGTACTTGATGTATTGTTTCTCTTTCTTTGCTGAGTGTAATGATTTAGTGACATACTAACTGACAACCGTGTAAGGCCTTATAGTCAGTTACCATCTGTATCAATAACAACCAGAAGTATCCATCAGAGTATCCACTATCACCTTTCCTGCTTAACTTCATCTAAGACGTACTAATATGGACAGAACTCCAGGTGTCTCCGAATTTACAGTGACTTACCCACTCCCTGGACGACACCTGGTCGACTTGGACTACACAGATGATATTGTCCTGCTGGGTGAAGATAGTGACAAAGCAGAGGGTCTTCTGAACACCTTGAGTAGAAATTTCAGTATGTTTGGCATGATTTCTGTACATATCAAGTGCAAACTGATGCCTCATGACTGATCTGAAGCTGGTACTCCCAATTTGAGGATAGGAAGTGAAGTAGTGGAGTGTATTGACCACCGTTTACTTGGGAAGTTGCATAAGCACAAATAGGTTGGTTGATAAGACAATTTAAACTCGGATACAGACGTGTCGTTTACCACTTGCCAACCTAATTCTTCTCTGACATCGGTGAGATATCCGATTACCCATTAAAGGACAAGTTTACTGCTCTGGAATCCTCGATGTCCTGTTATGCGGTTGTGAGACCTATTGGTTGAAGGTTGGAGATGTATGATGATAGGTTTTTGACCAGGGTTAGATGGTATCATCATGCGATCAATGCTGAGGTTATTTGACGAATAGGACTAGACATGGAAGACAGGTCATTCGATGATTTTGTGACATTTAGTGACTGAGGTGGCTCAGACATGTGTTGTTGCACATGGTGACTTACAATATCAACCGAAGTGGGATTATGTCGGAGGAAGGTTTATGGTATCCAGCCCAAGACACGGTAGGACATGGAAGGTATAGACTACTTGATTGTGGTTTTCAAGAAGGCAGGAATGATTGGTTGGACGCCCTTGGTGACGTGGTTGAAAATCGGTGATAGTGGTGCTGCAAATATATTTCCTGTTTGACCTCTGGAGTTTGAACATTTCCCCTAACCATCATTTTCGAATTCTTTCTCTTCTCATTCACTTTTCTCTACTTTTAGATCACTCTTTTTCTACCCTCTTGTTGTTCGCATACAGCTTTGAAGTTCTGCATTAATTTTGGTTGTCTATCTGTCTATGTGGTCCCATTTTTTGTGAACCCGAAATGTGTTTGTGAAGGGAACAATCGGTTTTCATATTTCCTCAATAATTTTCCTGATATTACTTTTTCTGTGTTCATTGTAAGGTGTTTTTGATGAAGGTGACGTGGATTTGAATGTATGATTTTTACAGATCATTGGAGCTGAAAAAGCTCTGAAAACTGACCCTCGTGTATGTTCAAACTATTCTGTTGACTATGTGGAAAAAACTTTGAGAGCATATCAGAATTTCAAAGGAGGTAATGCTGTGTTTACACTCCCAGCTGGACCAATTAAATGTGCTGGTGCTCCACAAAAGGTTATGTACCTATTTGAAGATTATCTCAAGCGAGTAAGTAGTTTTGATTTTTTGATTTATACGTGTTTAAGAAATAAATGGAACAAGATACTGGACAGTTTGAAAGTGATTTTTGTAGTGAATTGATTCCCTTTGTGTGACCATTAAACTTAGGAAGTACTGGAATACGTGTTGTTTTCGATTCCGAGATCTCTCATCACCAAATGCGTATTATAGGATGTAGAGATATAGAGATTCCTCATGCATGATAAATGGTGCAGTTTTTGATGCTGAAGTTTAAGGTGAAGCTTCAAGCAAAGAGACTTAATTTATTTCATACACATTTTCCCTTTATCAACTTTAAAATAGCAAGTGGTTCTTGTCAGCTGCTTACAACCCACAATATTTATAATAACAAATCACAATCAAATATTAACATTCTTTATTTCAATGAGATAAGTGGAAACAGCACAATAACATAGCAAAGTTAGGAAACTGTCCGAATTGAAATAAAGTCAAAATGTCGTGTAATGATGTCATAAATACATCTTATTAAAACGGAAGTTCTCGTAAACACTAGCCTCGAGGATCTGTTTTTCCTTTTACGTACGGCCTGCCTAAGATACATAAACAGAATGTCCCATTAAGACGAATACTACCAATGTTTAATTGACCCTATCACAAAGTTACTCACTGATTAGCGGAAAAGTTGAAACCTGTTCGTCAGCGATTGGCTAAATGCACTATGAAAGACTCGTTCCAGTTTGTTGAGACGGTAAGTCAATCTAGTGTCTGGAATGAGTTTATAGTTTCCTTCGATGTGACTTCCTTATTCACACTCAAGATAATATCTGTCAACCCACAATCTCCTTCTATCAACAGTTGAATTCAAGAAGCATAGAATATGTACGAAAGATGTCCGGTTCCAGTTTGGAAATATCCTGTATGACCAAGTTGATGGAGGGCAATAGACAGTCTATGAGACCGTATGTTGACAGATATTTTCATGGCTAATCTTGAGGTGACAAAACTCAAATATACCACTGATGAAGTAACACAATAGATACTTCGAGGACACGTTTATTGTTTACAAGGGTGTTACACTGCATATCACATCTCCTTAGAATCTTCAATAAGTGTGATAAACACCGCTAACTTAACAACAGGACATGAAAAGAATTGTACTTTCAAATTTCTGGACGTCAGCATTCGACAGGGTTGATCGTGCATTTCAAAGATCTATCTATCTAGCACAAAGACACATGAAAAGGCCTTTACCTTAATTTGCATAATTTCTATACATCGAGTTAACTGAAAACGAGCACTTGTTAAGATACTGTTGTGTACAACACGAAGAATATCCTGAGTAGATAAACTTAAAAAGGGGTTATTGCTTCTCGAAAAGTATCCTAAAGAAAATGGATACCCACATAACTTCATCAATAAATGAAGTAGAAGGGTATGGGATAAAGCCGATAAAATAACAGTCAGTAGGAGACCGATATTCATTCACCTCAACTTCAAAGGTGATGATGCAGCAGTGATGGTACACCGTAGAGTACGCTCCCACTGACCAAGGTGTTTCCTGCAGAAAGACTGGTTCCGCTGTTTCGTAGTCGTTTCTCGCTGTACAGCTAAAAATCGACACATAGTTTTCATATGTTCCCTCCAATTTTGTGTATCAGTTCACGTATATCTGTGGGAGCAGTTACATTAGGAGGAAGGCGGGAACAGCTAGCTTATCATCGACATTTCGAACGTGTCCTGAAGAGCTTTCGACTGAGAGGAGCAAGTATCCTGAATAGTGAGTTTACTAAGTCCTTAGTGGACACAGGATAATAAGCAGATGCCTTGGAATCGTTCGAAGTCATCAACAGACAGAATAATTCAAATCTTCGCCTAGTTGAAGCCATTGCAATCGAATGCCCAAAGCCATATTTATGTGTTCTGAAGGAATTTGTCGTCAATCTCCAACTAACCTGGTAACGTAATGCCTTAACCTTTCACTTATTCCATGACTTCATTATCCTGTCATTATATTTTCAGTTACCTCTAGACCCTAATGTTAATCAATTGAGTTCTACTCGTAATGTTCTATGAGTTTTTGTTTTCTGATTACTGATAATTTATTTACTTATTGACTTATGTAATTTCTTGTTCTGCCCCATCTAATGTTTACGAGAACTTCCGTTTTAATAAGATGTATTTATGACATCATTACACGACATTTTGACTTTATTTCAATTCGGACAGTTTCCTAACTTTGCTATGTTATTGTGCTGTTTCCACTTATCTCATTGAACTAAGGAACGTTAATATTTGATTGTGATTTGTTATTATAAATATTGTGGGTTGTAAGCAGGCTGACGAGAACCACTTAAGTAATAAAATGGATCCATACTATTCCGCTTGTGTTTTTTCTTACTATTTTAAAGAAGTAATTTGAGTTAGAGCTGGCTGAATTTCTTGTGGTATATTTTATTACTGAGGTCATTTGGATACTACTCACGTGACAACCGCTAGTTTCTGAAATTTCAGTATGCCTCGAGTAGAGCTGAAGAGTCATGAGTTTGATATTACTTAAGATTTAAGGGGTATCTATGGTGCTGTGAAACCTTTGACTATGCCTAAACGGATGTTCACTATTCACTAGTTCAACTGAAATCAACTAGTAATGAAAGGGTGTTTTAGAAAAGTAATGAAAATCGTGTTTACTTTTTTTCTGCAAGTGTTATGCAGCAGTATATTTGGTTGGTTAGGTTTGGTGTATCGAAATTCACTTTACGTGGCAGTGTGGTTCTAAACAGTATGTATTTATCAGGAGAGATTGTAGGTTAATTGATTTTACTGGATTTATTGTTCTCCTTAAAATCGGGAGTGAATGGTGAGCAAGAGGGTTAACGAGTCGATCACTTTCTTGTCTATTCCTCTGTATATCTTATTGATGAGTGAAGTGAAAGTTTTACTTATGCAGAGGATGAATTTCAAAATAATACAAATGAATATTATTTAGCTAATATAAGATTGATAGGCGTAAATGAGTAGATCTCCTATCACTTCAATAGGTTTGTTGGTTGGTGGCTTAAGTGGTCATTTTAAGTATTGAGTGGTAGATGTGAACATCTCAGTGGGCTTTTTGATGTTTCTGCTGCCGGATAGTATTGTGTTGAGTGTCAGAAAGTGAGTTTTATTCATAGTCTAGCTAATAAAGATGGATTGTTTCATAACCCATTTCCGTTGTTGATTGAGTTTATTGTTGTTTTCAACTATCTTTTGTAAATGTTATTGAATCAAATAAGTAATCGTTTTACTATGTTAGCATGAACTTTTAGGAGCTGTTAGTGTTCTGTTGAGAGTGAATTGACGGAAGTAACTCACATCCTTGGTATTTATTATTTTGAGTGAATGTTTTCCTCAGACAAGACGGAAAAGCGTTATCAGTTGGTGTTTTCTGCGTAGTTATGTAGATCACAGTAGTTGGGTGAATATTTTGTATAGTGTGTGCTAAGTCTTTAAATCCTGTTATCGTTTATATGTGCACGACTATTGCATCTAAGCAACCAACAGGAATCTGGACGATTTGATCAGTTAGGGTTTTTGAACTGGATGAGTCCACGTACGCTAGTTTTGGAGTCGATGGTAACCAAGTGGAACGGTATTCCGGCACCTAGATTATCGTGATTTGGTTAGTGAAGACTTCCATTTATCATTGCTTAGGGACACTGTAAAGTTCTTATCCGAACATACTGTATCAATTAGTTTTCCTTCGAGAGTCCCTACTCTCTGAAGTTAATTTTCCTTGCTTCTGAGTTGACTGGTTTAATTGTGACCGAGATACTCTTAAAGTTGATGTCGCCAATCTGTTTCTTTGTATCCTTCTGTGTACAGCGCACAGGTTAGCTGGAAAAGAAAAACGAATCCACTGTATTTACATAGTTTTATATTTGCCTTTTTTTGTTTTCCTCTCCTATTTTAGTTTGGAAAGAATATTCCAGCTGATATTCATTATTTCACGGCTACAAATAAGATGTTCTCAGTTGACAAATATTCCAAATCTCTTACGGAAATTTGTAAAAAGCGCAAAATATGTTGCAATTTGTCACATAATCTGGTTGAAGTAAGTGTGGTCTGTTGGCCTGTATGATTTTGGCCTTAGTCTGTTTATTTATACGCATTACTGGTTAACTGTGACATCCTCTTCCTCACTCTCAGTCTTGGCAGGTTTTAACTGTCGAGAAGTGTGTTCACATAATGTTTGGTAAGAAATACTAATAGTCTCCACTGTGAATGTAGTAGTAGTAGTAGTAGTATTTTCGGACTTAGCATTCTTTGTTTTAATGCTTGTGAAGTTGTGGCTGATTGGTTGTTTAGAGAGGTGACTGTTAACCAGAGTGTTGTGAGTACGAGCACCACCCCACCTACTGAGTTCTGGGCAGCCAGGCAGTGTCACTAACCGTCACACAATAGGTGTGGCTCATTGCCCATTGGAGGAGTGTGTACAAGGTTGCTGAGTGGGTTTCGATTCAGTTTGGTAACATTCTAGCCATCAGCTGGAGGGTAATTAAGAATTGATGGAGATTGTAATATTCTCATGGTTATTCATTTGTATCTTTCTATACTTGTTTGAGTGTTGATTGTTATTGGGTTTTTTTTTGGAGTTGTGATGCTGAATAGATATGACCTGAGTGGTTGATTTCTTCATCTGGACTAATTATCGTGTTACGTTTTCGTATAATTGATTGGCTGCCTAAATGTGATTCGATTGATTGTGGTTGTGATCATTCTCTTCTTCTGGATAGTTATGGATTCGAATGCTGTGAACACGTGTTGTTTGTTGGGTTTCATTAAATCCATTCTGCTACATTGGTTTTCATTCCTAACTGAATCGGTGCCATTGTTATTGTTTGTTTGGTTTGTATTTATGTTTGAGTTTTCTCTCGATTATTAGATTAGATTAGTGTTTGTATACGTGTAATTTGACATTTGTTACTCATTATTTCTGAGCGAAGCATATCAGTTCACCACTGAGTGGTATGAATGACTAATTTACTTTAGGAAGTATATTTTGAGTTGAGAAGTTTGGCAGTAATGTGAGTGAATGCTTTGTTGAAAAGTGGGTTTACGCCTAACCAAACTATACTGATAAGCATGTTTAGATGCTAATAGTCGATCGGATAGTTGGATGTATTCATAGGTAAATGAAACACGACTGGAGTATTTAGAAAGCGGTCAGGGTGATCTGCAGATCAGATGAATGTGAGCACCAGATGAAGGTTTGACTGGTTTGTAGCCTAGGTCATCTGCTGCGAGAAATGTCGAGATGAGCCGTGCAATTTGTAAATTATTTGTAAACTGGTCATCGTATTTACTGGTAAAGAGAGACTGTGTGTAGAGAACAGTCAACTCAAATGTGCTTGTTTGGTGCGTCACTTGTCGTTAACGGTATGTGCTAACATTTAAACAAACATCTTGAAGCTAGTAAGTCATTCCATAGTTTAGTATTACTTAAGCTTAATGACCAACTCATATCGGTTGGTAGGCAAAGATCAGCACTTAGTGGAAGTGTTTCAAACTCTAATGTTAGTTTTAAAGTCATGGAATTGCTGAGAAAACCCTAGTTAACTGAAGGTTTAGAAAACATTCTTTTATCATGAGGTTGAAAGTTTCTGCTCATAATCCCCCGTTGATGGATCTTAAGGAAGGAACGTAATTTGTGTATTCTAGCCAAAAACAACGCTGACTGGGTAATGTATTCTGCTCATAAGTAACCGTTTTCACATAAGAAAAATGACCTAAGTCGATGGAATTGCATACATTTTATGTTTGGTATCCGATTGCCTGGAATCACACAGATATAGATTGGCATGTTCAACACTTTTTGGATATACAGTAGTTAAGTCTTGTAGCTTAGTTAGCATAGCACTGAATAATAGACGATAGGCTTATTTTCTGAATAAAATACAACTCAGTTTTGTATAGAATACTCTTTTAGATAATGGAACTGGTGATTTGTATCACAAAGTATCTCTTGAATTTTCAATATTTTGCAGGTAAATCCACAAACCAGTGAAGCTGTATTCGAAGATATGGAAAAAAATAAACTTGTACACGTTAAGGTATGACGATGTCACTTGTATTTCACTTCACATAACCTGTTTATTTATTATGATTGATTTAACTGCAGATCATGATAACAAATATTTGTTTTTGTAATGGATCAAGTTTAAAACAGAACGTAAACAGGTTACTGTATGAATATTTATTGGTTATATACAGGTTGGGATTTTCTGAGTCAATTTAATTTGCTACGGTGAATACCAGTGTAAAAAGAAAATCAACGGAATGAGGAGGAACATGAATGAACCAATGGTGGTGGTGAACAAGAGCAGTGAAATGTCACGGGTCAAGAGGAAAATAATTCATCTGCTTGGTTTTTAATAGTTTGGAAAGTCTTACCGAAGGGTTTATATTTTCTGATTCAAATATTCAGTGACTTCAGTGGTTGATTCCAGTTTTTAGGCTGACCAACCTTAACTTTCCAACGAGATTCCACTCTTCGGATCAACGTCTTACATTACATTCTCGAATGTCCGTAATGTGTTGACGCTGTTCTTGGTTGACTTCCATGTTTTGAAACTGATCTGATCTGATCATTGAATTTTTCGGAGGAATGTATTATAGTGTACTTGGATACTCTCTCACTTTCACGGTAGTGCAGAATAAACCGATGCGAAATACAGCCATCCTTTAGTAAAATTTCGTATATCTACTTGGTGGCATAAAGGTAAAAGTTGCTGATGTATTCTAATCACCGCCTAAGTGTTTACTGCTTCAATACACTCTTATTGATGTCATCTGATAAATTAGAGTTCCGAAACTTTCCAGTGGTGTTTTTTATATGCTGTCCAAATTTAAAAATTCCAGTATGTTTGATTTGGAACATATTCGGCGTTTAGATGAACACCTTGAAAGTGATAACAGTATTTTATCGAACCGACATGAATGGGTCAGCAGTTGATGACTGATCATGTTGTTAAGTCCTTAGTGCTGATCGAGATATGTTGATTAGGTTTGCGAAGTGACACCATACTATTTTATTTACCTTGTTTGTCATTAGATGTGTGCAGTCAGTTGACAGGAAACCATACTTTTGTGCTTGTTGATACTCATTAGAAAGGAGTACTTCAAACTCGTGAATTTGTATTACCTCATAGATGCTAACTTGCATCGGTCAACGTCGGAGTCACGTTCTTTACCCCACTATCTCCTGTGGAATTCGGTTGCGTGTGCGTGCACAAGTCGATTATTGGACACATTAGTTGTCGAATTGTAAGTGGTGTTTGATTAAAAACATTGGGAATATAATTTTGGTAACTGATATGGTTCGATTCCTTCCTACAAGCCTGTCTGTAAGCGGTAAAATTTTATGTGGTCAGTTTTGAGATAAAATTATTTTTCAGTTCGTCATAATAGATCTGTGATCATAAAGAATGAGGAGTGCATGCCGTTCAGTAAACATGTGTATGATTGTGTGTTGGGTTGTTAACCGCGTTTGGTGCGTAGGAGCTTAGTTAGCTACCATGTTGGATACACCAGAATATGTTGTAAGGGATCTCTGAAACCCTTTAGCTGTATTCCACGTCTCGTAACGTTCAGCCTGTAGTAATTTTTCTGAAAGTATTGTATGGAGAATTTGCCTGTGATTCAAATGTGACTGGATATGTTTTTTATATTTATCTTTGTTGGACAGAATGCTATAAGTTCCATCGGTTGAGTAAAGTACTGAAGGGGGCCGATAAATGGTCCATAATTTTTGGTTCAAGAGGAGTGACTATTATTACTTACTAGTTTCATTCATAATACTTATTCTTCATACATTTCGTTCCCTCGAAGAACTTGAACAAAGACACTAGCAGAATAAAATGAGCTCATTTTATTTCACCAACTTTCATCAGCTGCAGACAGCTAATAGCTGAATGAAATATGAATAGTAATAATGACATAACATACTTAAACTATGTGTAATTAAGTGAAAATTTGATATCCATGATTAACAATATGGTGATGAGTGAAGGGAGCATAGGATTGATAGTCACAAAATCAATGGTAATTCATATCTGATGAGATACTAAGTTTCTTTAGCTGCGAAGAGGGCGGGCGGTGGGGGGTTTGGACGACAAACAAATACGAGTGCAAAATGAGGGATTGTTTCAGAGCTAGCAGTCTATGTAATTACATGAAGAAACTGGAAAAACGTTAGGGTAAATGACTAACAGTCACTAAGTAGTTAATGAAGAGAGGATACAACAAGAAGTGGAAAAGTGTATACATACATGTGCAGTATATTGATATTATATACAGTTTCCAGAGTAAAGAAAGGTTAGTTACAATCTCTTCCAGAGTACATAGGTCAGGTTGAAGATGTTTGATGGTGAGAGCTTATGCAAAGCATAATAAATATGGCATTCTTTGTTTGTTGATTATCCTGGCAGATTAAGAAACATCTGCTTGATGTACTGTTTCGATCAGCTACAGAATTTTCTATCATCAGATATGAGTTGGTATTAATTTTGACCAAGGTTTGTAATCATTTAATAATCCTGTGTATGCTTCATTCATCACCATATTGTTAATCATGGATACCAAATTTTCACTTGATTCTACATTTTTTAAGTATGTTATGTCATTATTACTAGTAGTGTTTCATTTCGATTGTCAAATGTTTTCCGTTGATGAAAGTCGGTGAAATAAAATGAGCTCATTTTAGTTTACAAATTTCTTGCAAATGTTCTTGCATTGTTCCATCTTATTTTTTAAGCAACAAATAGTGAGTGTTATTGTATACTGAAATATAGACATATTGAACGCACATAAACCAAACGCTTACTCGCTTTGTGAGCAGTCATGAAAGTATGACCAATTTTTAAAGAGTTTGTGTATTTTTATCATACTGCAGATGACAGTGTTAATCTGCTCTTCATACTGAATGTAGCTCAACAATCAATACAGTTTTGTGTACTAGACAATGAGCCGTATCCGTTGTGTTGGTGCTAATGATAATCTAGACTTTGTTATGTGGACCTGGGTTAGGTAGGATCAACGTTGAAGTGATTGGAAGACAATTGCCTGAACCAGTGGACTATATTTCCAAGACTTCATACTATTATCTATATCATCTGTAACAGTATACATTTGTTACATGTTAACGTGAATGAGCTAACCCCTTCTATTGCATTTTGCATTCCAGTATGACCTGTTACATATCACGCCTCCAATGAGTTGTCCTGAGGTCCTTGTGAAAACACCAAATTTAACCGATCCGAATGCAAGTGATTATGTGAATGTGGATATTAAAACACTGAGACATAAACACTATGATAATATATTTGCAATTGGTGACTGTGCAGCTTTGCCGACATCGAAAACAGCTGCAGCTGTAGGTAAGTTAATTACAGTTTGTGTACTGTGATGACTAAATATTCTGAATTTAGTACAATATTGAGGCCAGTTGTCGTCTGAAAGAGGGAAATGTATTGGTATTGTTTAACCAGTTTTACGTATGACGTTTTTGGATGGTGTCAAATATTGTTTACTTGTATATAAATAAAACTTGGGCACTATGGTCGATTGTAATTCCATTTTAGTCTGTTTATTAGAAATATCACACAGTGAAACAGTAGCATTTACTGGATAACGTTTCGGACACAATTTATTGTCCATATTCATACCAGGTAACTCCACAACTTGAAGACAGATTTTATATTTTAATTTTCTCTCCTCCTCTGTGATGACAAGGGTAGCAGAATTTTTGAGCACAAAAACTTAGCTAAATTAAGATTAGTAGATCTGGAAATCTAGAGAAAAGCTCGGCTATAGCTCTGTATGCGATGACACACAATCACACAGTAGAATGGGATAGGGCGACAGTGTTGAAAACTAACTTAGTTGGGTGGAGGGAGAGATTGATAACCGTATCTTTGTTTATCGAATCAACACCAAACATATGCAATCGAAATGATTCTGCACCTGTCCCAGATATATGGAAAATTCTACTACCCTTGTCATCCCAGACAAGGAGAAAAAATTAGGAATGTATAAAGTCTGTCTCGAAGTTGTGGAGTTACTTTGTATGCATATGGACAATAAATTGTGTCGGAAACGTTGTCCAGTAAATGCTACTGTTTCACTGAGATATTTCTAATAAACAGACTAGTATTGTAGATTTGCCTTCTCTTTATAAATATTGCCTTGTACTTGAAGCGGAAGACTGTTTTTCAAAATGGACTTCAAAGTTTTATGATTACCTCTGTCTATCTAGTCTTTCTTAAAATGCGAAGGAGGCATAATCATTTGAATGAAACATTTTATCACTATAGGACCAATGGTATCCAACCAACGGTAATTCATTAGAGCAAAGTACGATAGAGTACACCCTTTAACTTTCGCAGCGCTTCCACAGCTATTCTTGAAGTGGAACCTGATCTCCATTTGGTACAGACTAATCTACTCACTATTTGAACTTAAGTACTTTTGGTCGATTTTAAACCTCGAAGTTGAATATTTGGTTGAGTTTCAGAATTAGTAAAACCACTTATTCGATGACCAAATCGTCAACTGAATCTGTTTAATGGGTTTCCAGGCTCATAACTATTAAAGTCAGTCTCCGAATATTCAATCTTATCATGAAGAATATGAAAATGCAAACAAACAAACGAACATATTTTCATTTCCTTCTTGTCATTCTCTTTCAGCTGGTCAAGTGGGTGTGTTGGAAAAGAATCTGTGTGATGTTATGAAGGGTGGTAAAGGTAATGTTGCTGAAGTAAGTATATATTTAGAAATAATTTCAAGCACATATCATGATAATTCTTTCGTCCATTCGAATTTTGGTGTTGATCCAGATGTTTTAAGCGTGGGAAATCATTGTGGTACTGCTTAATTATGAGTTTAAGTATAGGTATGGGTTATACTCAGGTGCTTCACCACTTTAAAGAAGAATCTATTCAATTCACTTCCTAAGTAATCGATTATTTCTTATATATTTATCAGTGTGCTCTAACTACAATATCTACGATGTGCTTACTTTATGCTCTGAGTTATTTATACACTGTATGTAGATGTATGTAGGAACTGTAGGAATAGGTTTGTTTGGATTTCTTTACTGTAATTTTCGGATGCGAAAAAGACGAAACGTATCAGTCGGTAAAATATTTGGCGTTGATAAAAGGAAGTGGGTTAGGTTAGATTTATCTTTAAATGCCAGTAAACTACAGACTGATGGGTTGATACATCTTGACTACCCACACTGTGGAGAGTGAATTTTCTGTTTAGTGTATTTACCACAGGAAGTGGATTAGTGAGGATTATCCTATTGACTTGATTGTGTTACCATGAAATTCGAATGGCGTCTGTTTAATGTTGGTTAAACATGGTATTTTTAGATGCTTTTGAATTTCAGTTAATTGCCTATTACATCTATAGTTCTCAAGAAACCCTTTTCACGGTAATCAGAAGATAGGTGATGAAGGCAGATAAGGGTATGCCAATTTCAGGCGTTATCTTCTTTGCTCCTTCTTTCAATAAAATGGAGACATTATCAATTTGTAATGTAGATTATCCTCGAGAAGTGCCTTGTTACTACATGTTCAGCTGGTAGTTTCTTTACTTTATTTTAACAGTATAGAGGACTGTTTTGTTTCGAATATTGTTCGTGAATTTCTTTGTTTTTGCAGATGGTTGAGATTCTGAGCGGTGTTTATTTACAGAATCTATTGTATCCTTTTCGAGTAATACTTAGATAGTTTGTGTTCAGCAGTAGTTAACGGTTGATTGAACGAAGTGCATTCGTTATTGCTTGATGTGAGCTGTGGCAACTCGGACCGTTATGCAGTGATGCCTGGTCCTATGTTGATATTGATGATGATGATTTCTTCTTACTTATAATCGATCATTCGGATTTATCTGTGTCTTGACACTACTACTTAGGTTGGAAACTCAGCGACCAAGTTGATAACAGCCAAGTGTTTGAAATGATAGATAGTGAGTTCAAGTTCTGGTGTAGACCCGACGAGAGCTGCTAATTTGATGTGGTCGTCAAACGTGTATATCCCAATATCCCAGTGGGCGATAATGGTAGAGCTTTAGTTTCTTTGAGGTCCTACCATACGAGTAAGGTATGTTTGGTAGTGGTAAGAGAAGAACGGGTCCCCGTTATGTGATGCAAGTAGTCACGCTATGATGGTGGTAGAAGTGCGAAGTTGTACTACTGACTGGATGGTTCCGTGACAGCATTACTGTTTCCTGTGTATGACCAGCAGTAGTATGCTGATGCTGTTTACTCCATGGTAAGTAGGGGTGAGGAAAGGTCGAGTACAGAAATGGCGGTCTTCGGTGCCGGCCATATGGGTTGAGTAATAATAAAATGGCTGTGATATGCTTGTTTGGCTTTCTCCACTGTAAGCAGTTTATGATGTATACATTATATCTGGTTATCTACGAAGTCTTGAGTGTACTTTGCTACAGTTTGCTGTGTTCTACTATATGACCGTTAAAGTGAAAGAGTTCAAGTCTATTTCATCCTAATTGTCATGTTACATTTTTTTGTTTTGCTTACACGACTGTCTTCTACTTTTGATTACTTCCTTTCTCATTTATCAATGTTTCACCTTGAGGCCTTGAAAAATGTGTTACGCATTCCTAGTGGCCGTTCACCGGATTGCACAATGTTAACCGAAATAGGTTTAGGCTGGGAAAGATTTAGAGGCTGTCGGATTAAGAGCTGGTGTCAGTCGATGAAGTGTCTGACTGTTGGTCTAAGCCTTGTGGTGAACTGTGGACTTCCGTGTCGGGGCTCAGGTGACCAGGGAAACCAGTGGTTAGAAACTCAGATGGCTCAGATGTATTCGCATGTCATCCTCATCTTAATCGTTACACTGGATTTTATTATTGTCTCATTTCTCCTTGCATTCTTTCGGTAATTTTCTGCCAGCTTTTAGTGCTTTCTTTCCTACTTGTTTACTGGTCATCTTGGCGGGTTCTCGCTTGATGTATTGACATGAGGTGTGGCAACTTGGACCACTACGCAATAGTGTCAGGTCCTATGTTGCTTTATGTCTGTCTATCTCAACAGGGTAGCTCAACAGAGTAGGTTGAAGAGATTTATTGTATGAAATGCAGAATGTGAGTGCCATTGACAGTGGCTCGCAATGGCGATCAAGTAGTGATGAGATTGATGTCAAAGCGTCGTTGCAAGAAATCCTCATTCAAAGAAAGTTTGATCGTTGATTTCCGTCAATCCAACAGTGAAAAATTCAAAGTTTCAGTAACAAGGTTGATCAGCCTACGGTGTTGTGTTCCAGTTTGTTAATTCATATAGTGAATAGTGTAGACAAAATGGTCACTATTTTCTTATATTTCATCTTGGTGTTTACCTACCAACCGGTTATATTCAGCCATTGGATCTCATAACAGTTGAGTTTACTTTATTCAGAGTAAACGTTGTAGATGGTTTTGCTTCTGTTGGTTATCTGAGTGAGTAGAATTTATTTAGATTCCAATAGCTGAAGTCACTTAACTTTGTGCAGTGAATTTTTCCGAGTACAGTATTGTTGAATCTAATTGTGAAGGTGCTAAATTATTTTTCGCTTTAATACATATTGAAGAAACAGAAGACAACTCGACGAGAGAATGTTTATTACGAATAATTGGAATGGTAGTGGTTACATATGGTACTGCTTGCACTAACGCAGCCATTTGCAAATGGCTTCGTTTCCTCTCCGTTCCTGTCTTGATTTGCTCTTGACCGGCTCTTCATACACTCTTATCAGCAGCATCCCCTGTAATACGCCTGTGTTGTCCCCTGCGTTGCTCTTAGTAGAAATCTTACCCATTGCCGGTAATTCCTATGATTCCTACCACCCTCTCCATATATACTACTTATATCCGTTGTTGTTAGCAACGCCTACTACAATACTTGATCTGGCTAACAATAAAATTTACAGATCAGGCTGAATGGATAGTCGCTGACTAATCATGCTGTTCACTAGCATATTTCATCCGGAATTTACTGATTCCTATCTATGCAAATTCATTTATTCACTCATTCATTCATTTTCTTTTTGTTTAGTATGATGGGCATACTGCTTGCCCACTAGTTACAGGATATAATCGAGGTATAATAGCTGAGTTTGATTATTCACTCCAACCACTGGAGACGCTTCCCACTGATCAAAGTAGAGAACGTTATTTGTTTTACTTTATGAACACCTTTGTCTTTCCACCTCTCTATTGGGATTGGTTCACGAAGTGAGTTTATGTTGTGTTCTACTGCTAATTTGGTCATTTGATATTTTCATTAGATTTCATTTCCGTTTTCCTCACTCATCGGCTAAATTTGTCTGCATCATAACCAATCTGTTTAAAGTTGTTCATTTTTCTATGAAGGGATTCTTAAAAGTGCGTGTGTTGCTCATTGACCTAGACATGGAGTTATTTACCACTTGGTCGCGGGTCCGAACTCTAGTCCTCTTACTTGTCTTTTAATGGCCGGGAAGTAGCATTACCCTTCACATATATGTATTAGATGTGGTTCTCACTGGAAATGCATAAAACCAAATGAAGTTTCCAGTACACGATTTGAATGGTATCGGTGATTTCACATGAATGAGTATCATCCTGCGGATAATAGTGTTTTCATGTGCATTCATTAATGTTGATGAACAAGACTACACCTTTTTGTGCGAGAACTTTAGTTTGGTGGTGTAGGGGGATGGACAGTGGGATTTGATATTGCTGTTTTCGCATTGCAACCAGATCCTCTAATTTTGTGCTGAATACCTAAGAAAACAGTTTTGTGTAGTAGGATTTGTAAACAAGTGTGTACAAGGTGGTATTAGTACTCTGAATTCAGTTTCACTTTGCTCGCGATCACATTGGAGAATATTAAGATGAGTTACAATAATGTAATTAATTAACTCATGTGAAGTGACAAACAGCACACTGGTAATCAGGCATTCTATTAAGTGATACAATCAAATCCATTGTATGGTAAAGGGATAATTCCAGGAGGATTTTGTTCATCCACAATGCTATGACTTATTGCTAATGACAAAAGCATGATTGTCACCAATGTAGCACAGGCTTATGTATACTCAATGTGTGTAAATGGATATGACATTGATTGGTTGCCTGGGGCGACTTCAGCTTGGGACCTGTTGCTCGAAAGTGGAGTACTTACGATAACTATCTGCATCCGATTAGCTGGGTTAAGTGACTTCCACTGACTCTAACTGCCCTTCATTTATGAAGGTCTTGTAAGTCAGTCAGGTAGTATCACTAACCTTCATACACTGGACGTTGTTCATAGCCTAAAACAATACATTAAGTTATATATGTGACGTGTTTTTACTATTTGACTTCACTAGTGATAGTACTGTTTGGATCTTCAAAACTATCTTCCGTGAGATCGATTGTCGGAGAGATACTTGACTAACTGGTTTTGTTTCAAGTTGTAGGAAAAGTCTCTGAGTATGCAATATAAAAGCAATATACAGAAAGCCTTGAAATTGAGTGTTGTGATCGTCGTTTTATGTATAACTGCAAAGTTATCATTGTATGCACTGCAGTTCGTATTAGTGTAATTCATGACTGTGATTAGGTACATTATCACTTGGGTATTGGTTGTTCAGTCATTAATCTGGTTAACCACATAGATCGTTGGACAACGTGTTATACAGTAGCGACGGTACCCAGAAGGTCAGTCGACTGAGAAGTTGCAATGGTAGTGTTGGTCCACACTGTTTTCGAACTTCTGAGCCAGTAAAAGTTTTTTGAGACTACAGATAGTAGAACTGACTCACCAACCAATTACAGATTCATATTTGGATTTAGATTGTACTGATCTTTAAAGGGAATAAAGATGCTACTACTTTGTTCGACCATAGAAGAGGAAGTTGTGTGTGTGTGTGTGTGTGTGTGAGAGAGAAGAGAGAGAGAGAGTTCTCATCCTGATGATCTGAAAGATTTTTAATACTTCAATTGAGAAACTACATGTAATTTTGTTTTTTTTGGCTTTACAAACAGCCGCAAAGCATAAACACCAAGACCATTGTTGATAAGATAATCCATTTGTGTTGATGATGATTACAGGACATAACTGCACTGAAAAGCTTGCAGACACAACTCGATAAAATGCATCACAAAAGTTCAGCGCTTCAGTTTATCACATTTCGTAACAACAAAGGAAATGAAAATTGACAGAAATGCAGAGGTAATGAAATCAAGAAGAAGGATATGACAGGGAAAATCAACTCACGATACTAATCGAATCAGAATGCAGTAGGTAACCACGTGCAAATTCACGCAGTAGGCAGTATGCTACAACACCTGTTGTGCGAGGTTGAATGATTCCACGTAGTTGCTGGAACCATGAGAGGTGGAGGGACGTCTGAGTCCATGGCTGTGCACTGATTGCAAACCGATTGTCTAGACCGATGAACCACAGCCTCAGGGATTTGAAAATGATACTAGGTGGATGTTTAGTCAGTATTTAATTGACATTTAGTCGTATTATCGAAGGTTTCCAACGTGTCAACGAGTCGATATCATTTTCGAACTTGGCATTACTGTGTAACGATGAAAGTTGCCTAACGTCACGTGAGCACATGAAAAGGTAGAAGGCAGCAGACACAGAAATATCAACGTAGAACTTCGCACAGAAGTGCATCTTTTCTATTTGCCACATTTTACTGAAGCCTGAGAAGAACAGGCAGGTAGAGAGAAAAGTGATGTCAAGGTACACAAAGGTATACTGGAGGCAAAAATATTTGACAATGAAAGTTAGTGGAAATATTCAAGGTGTAGGAGACGTGAAAGAGTGGATGCATCAGCGCCACTTCGACCGGTTTTCAGCGACGTCACCGAGGTTATCCAACCATTGATTCGTTTTGCTCGGAGTACACCGACAAGACACTCTATACCTTGCTTCATGCACTGATGCTGTTTAAGGGTGACCATCCTTAACACTATCCGTAGTCAATCCTACTGCAGCCAATATTGCAGGTCGAGTTAGACAGTGGTTCGGCATGCGTTAAAATGTCAAGGTCATCTCAGTCGGTGAGAGTTCACAATCGTATCGATGAACTTGGTATTCTTGCCTAACACCCTTCGACTGACCTCCACATTGCTGACACGGAGAAACTACTTTGCGTGAATAAAGGTGTAAAGACAACTGCTGTGGTCAGAAACCTGTTATCTCTTCGTATCTGCCATCAGTCACCAAATCTCAGCCGTATGGTGTGAATAGCGGATTGTAGAGCAGTGACTCGGCATTTAATGGATAATCGGATATCTCGCTGGTGGCAGAGAAGAAGCAGGTTGGCAAGTGGTAAACGACACGTCTGTGTCCGAGTTTAAATTGCCTTACCAACCAACCTATTTGTGCTTATGCAACTTCCCAAGTAAACGGTGGTCAATACACTCCACTACTTCACTTCCTATCCTCAAATTGGGAGTACCAGCTTCAGATCAGTCATGAGGCATCAGTTTGCACTTGATATGTACAGAAATCATGCCAAACATACTGAAATTTCTACTCAAGGTGTTCAGAAGACCCTCTGCTTTGTCACTATATTCACCCAGCAGGACAATATCATCTGTGTAGTCCAAGTCGACCAGGTGTCGTCCAGGGAGTGGGTAAGTCACTGTAAATTCGGAGACACCTGGAGTTCTGTCCATATTAGTACGTCTTAGATGAAGTTAAGTAGGAAAGGTGATAGTGGATACTCTGTTGGATACATCTGGTTGTTATTGATACAGATGGTAACTGACTATAATGCATCACGCGGCCACATGAGTTGGTGCTATCAGCGTTTATCAGCATTACTTGCTTTCTTGAAGCTCCCTTCATATTAAAGGACTACCACGATATCTCTTGTCTGACAGGGTTTTGCGACGAACGTGGTACCACTTAGTGAATGTGTTGAGATGTGATAATCTGTGACATTTGTAAATATCCCATTACGTAGCATGAATTGGAACCCTGATTTGTTGTTTGTGAATCAATTGTTTATTTATTTTTCGACACTTTATGTGTAGGCTTTATTGAGTAAGAGTCATATGTATAGGATGAGGTCGATTAAATTTTAACCGCAGTGTATATTCACTCCGGGAATACGTGGAAATATTTTGCCGATACTCTTTTATCTTGAATTTTTGGAAGATTGTTTACTCGTAACCTGATTCTCTACTCTATGCTAACTTTTCTACAGAGGATACTGGTCTGGTCCGAAATTCATTCGCGATATCCTACATTTGAGAAGCCCTTGGTATTCAAAGCCACAGGAATGATTCTACCGAAATCCAAGTATTATCAACTTTCTTGATGACTGCAAATTTAAGTGTTCGAATTTTTAGTCGACTATTAGTGTTTATTCGAATATCAAGTTACTTCCCATTATGTAAGGTGTAACGGTGGACGGCGTTACATACAACAGTAATATCATCCTGATAACCCTCCTTGTTTACGCCTTCCTATATTGCGCATCCTTTTGTACTTATTATGTCTTGTATTGTGCATTAGTTTTTCCGCCTGTTCATCGTTAAATTATTTTCATTCGATTAAAGTTATGTTTCCTAAACATTAGGTATAGATAAACTTTTATTACTGAACTACTTTTGTTGCCTTCATGCCTCATTGTACTACACACTGTCGACATCACTGTGGGAAGCTCTCCTGTGTTGACTTGTGCGTGTTTACGACCTCTAAGTGCTTTCAACAGCATATTGTGTCGCTCAGTTTTGTTTTACGACGTTTTCTATTCATTCTGTGTGGAACTTGCAGTCCAGTGTTACGTATCCCTGTGCAACAAGTGTAGTGATAGTGGTTTCCCGTGCAGTAAATAAAGACGTGTATATTTTGAAAGCTGACTTTTACTTTATGGTGGATATACATATGTTCGAGATGAATGAGGATTTTAATTTAGAGGTAGTAGCCATCACGGACTGACATAAGTTGTGGAACTATTGACAACCTGAAAGTACTGGAAAGCTGTTTGTTCCTAGTATGAGACTCCTCAGCTGTACGCATTCACGACCTGGCCAGAGAGCGGACTCATGACCTTCAGGTGAGAGTTCACAACTGTGTTGATTGACTTGCTATCCTTGCCTTGCGTTATCAACTAGATGAGTTACATGCTTGTTTCTATTTCAGTCCTATCATGATAAAGTTGTATATTGGGTCAACCACAAATTTTGAGTGTTTACTAATAGCTATCAAAGATAGATTACTTGAGTGCTTAATTTAGTGTGCACAAAGAAGCAACTATAGGATTACCGAAATAACACTTGCCTATAAATTAAAAATATTTGAATGAAAGACATGATAGCTAATTTTGTGAGACCATCTCGACAACTGTACGATCACATGCTTCCCCGGTAAAACAGTCGACAATTACGGTTAGTATTTGGTTGGATATAATGACGAGGACTGAGGTGAATGAAAGGCATGAAAAGGCTGCTTTAGAACAGAGTGATTCAAGTTTGAATGAGGTGTAGTCAAAAAAGCTCAATAAGAGGATGTACGTAATATGGAGTTATTGACGACAGGAAGTCGGTCTTCGAAGCTGATAATGGAAACTATGGTGAGAGGCTAGACAGAATACACCAACAATTGCGTACAACATCTGCATGCCAATTTGTTTCCATGCTGTGAAGTGGTCTAATGAGTAAAATATCCTTTAAGTGTTTCTGCATGTTGTAAAGTGCTTTGAATGGTGCCTGAGTTGTGATGTTGTGACCAGTTTCGATGAGTTATGTGATAACCAGACTACTGACAAATTCATTACTGGTTGTAAGTCTTTACTAGAAATTTTGTCCTTTCTTGTGTTTTGTTGTGGGCATAGCTTCTGATAGCAAAATACCCAAGCATATCTTGAAAATGAAATATCTCGTAGGGCGGAGTTGTGACCAACATCACAGTGTTTAGTTTTCATTGGTGAATTAGTTTAAACTATCGAATATTTGGTGTGACCCTTGGGTTTGTTGATGTGATGAATTAATTGATACATTTATTGATTAGTTTTCTCAGTACTCACATGATATTAAACGCTGTTAACCAAACGATAGATGAAGTTTTTCTGGTTCCAATGAAGTCAGTAATTATTCAATAAGAACCTTTGACTTTGTTATTGAATGAAGAAGCTTTGTGTTACTGAGAATTAATTATTATCTTTGTCGCTTAGGATACGCTGTTGGTCTGCAAACAAAAAGGAATGGAATGCAGCTGTGCATATTCATGCTAATAACTTTCAGTAATTGAAAACTAATAAATGTGAAATGTGATACTGATTTCAGGCCAACAGACAGAATATCGATGTATAGCGTGATAGAGATATGCGTCAGGAAGTCGACTAACACTGAAACAAGAAACATAGAGACCGACTACTTACACGGAAGAGTCAACAGCACTGACTGACAAAGGTAGAGAATATCGTGTACAAACTAAAATATTGTGCTGAACCAAGGAAACCTGGTTCTTATCTGAAGGAAAGGATTTTCTCATTACCAAGAGCCGTAGAGACTGACTTCTCATACGAAAAGGAATTTGTCAGTGCCAGATGTACAACACACATAACAAATCATGACTAGTCCTAGAGTCCTTAGAAATTTCCGTGTGCTATGAAGACGAAGTTCCTCCAAACTGTGCTAGTTAGTTTTATGCCGCAGTAAGTGTAACCTTACACCGCCTGAAATGCATCTTTAAATGGGATTTCAGGCCGAAATTGGTTGGCTGTGTGGATTGTTTGGAAGCGTATTGAAGTACTTATCTGAACGCGTAGCTTTTGTAAGGCCATTGGTGGGCAGCCTGATTCACCACCGAGTCACCTCACATAAGATTTTCATATGATTTTCTGAGAAGTTGTACCACCTCAGAGGCTCAGACTACTGAGACTAAAAACTATCCTGATTATGATTCTATGAGCTGTAAGGTTTACTGTGAAGCTTAAAAAGATGCCAACTGTACTGCTTGTTAAAAAAGTGTCATTCGGTTGACGAAATTGTGGAGGGCGTTTAAGATCGTCGCTATGAATATTGTGAAGTCCAACCGTGCCACAAATTTATGGGAGCCGCTGAAGGTAAGTTAGTCTAGCATTGTTACACTGCTTCATTGTTTATCGAATAAATCGATTTCTCCTTGATGTATTAAATTCATCTGGATTGATAGAAAACATTCAAATTGGTCCTAAGCAGCCTGCATACTCAATTAATCATAAAACAAGAAACTACTGTGAACATATTTAAAGATAGGGTCACCTTAATAAATTGTCATAGGAATTGCGTCTCCGCAACACAGCTTGACGGATCAAAGGATTTGACGACTATGAATGTTGATCGGCTATACAACGGAATAGATTGCTAAGGCATTTGAAAAAGCAAGATGGATTTCCCTTACTAATTTCCGGAAACACCTTATTACTGCTGGTCTCAGGCAGAAGCGGAAACAGGGGAAGCGAGTTACGTAGATTTCGATGCAAGCTACAAAAATTACATTCGTAGGAAATCGGTTATTGACGAAAAAAGTCCCGTGGTTTTACACATGTTGAGGGGTACGTAGAAAATGTAGACGTTGACATGCAGAAAAATAACTTTCAATCTAGGGATTAATCGAAAGAACGTTTCATTAATATAAGTGAAAAACTTGGGCACTGTGGTAGAATGTAGTTCCATATTAGATTTGTTTATTTGACATAAAGCGCACAGTGATACAGTATTATTTAATTGAATGTTTCTACCCAGTCTGGAAACACAATGAACTGTGCCTTACATGTAGATCCTAACCACATAGTATATAAAAATGTCGTTAATATACGAATGTTAAGAAGATTTAATAGATCAGGGAGGAATTAATTTATTCGATAAACAATGTAGCGAGATAACAAAGCTTAACTAATTCAACGTCGGCCGCAACTATAAATTTATATTAACGCGTGAATCTAGCCAGCATAGGCAGGCTTCATATTATTCAGATAGACAATCTATAACGTCTCCATATTTTCGTCAACTGGGGGACATCGTCTTTTCACAGGCAGTGTTGTTCATGACTTTCTCAACTCTGCAGTCACCAGCTGTAATTGTGATAAATTATAGATACTAGTAACCCTAAACAATGTATGAATGCAAGTTGCTACAAATTGTGTGCGTACAAAAATGCGAAAGCATATGTGAGAGAAGGTATGGAAATGAATTGACAGTATCAGTGGTTGTAATAGGTCACAAGATGAAACGAAGTAACTGAAATTGATCATTGAGATATTTGAGATCATGATGTGGATAGATAGATATGCATCATGAATGCATCTGCGTTACGACAATCGATTTATAATTCGGCTAGTCAGAGATTTCAAACGTCGGTTTCGGTTGTTTTCTGACTTCGAACAGGGATCTCACACTTGATTACGCGGTATAAATCGACAGTCATCAAGTTCACGCATCGCTTGTAAATCTTGAGTGTGCCAGTATCAGCTCTCTTCACTGAGTAGTTATAAGGATGGTTGTGAGAGAAGGCAGCCAGTAGGAATGTGTAACGCATTCCATCCATTTCAGTTGATAATGACTCACAATCCTACAAACTGACTCGTCCTTCTTAACGTACTCGTCATTTTCCACTTGTGTTGGCAACGTTGTGGTTCAATCATGCAACATCGATGCTGTTCCAGTCAACAGTTGTCAAGTTGTTGGATCCATTGGAAATACTTCACATTTTGTTTCGGATTTCCGCTACCGTATAGTAGAAGTAGGCTGAATGCTAGGCACAGCAAGTGGTTTTATAAAAGTAGTCCGATGCCGCAATCACGCCTTAAACATTTTGAGCTAGCAAAATAAGACCAGCTTCTCAATATCCTAGTTTGCTTTCTTCATGGCATATTTTGTATACATATTACAAAGTGTAAACAGAAGACATTTCATGTGAACAAACGATTATTCGTTAACCCAACATTCCAAATCTTAACTGGCCAGGCACCATATCACTTTCAGGTGTATTTGGCTCAAATTGCGGAGTTATAATATGCATATTTACAAGTGTGATGACGGAGTTCCAGTTCACTGATGGGAGATTCCTTGATGTAAGCCAGTCGTGACTATATCTAAGAGGATTCATAAACTTATACCACATCCAGTATCTGAAGGTCACTATTTACATTTATAACTGTGATATAGGTCTTCTGTAATAATTAGTTCTTAACTTCGTCCCACTTTGTGAATTTCTCATCTGAAATCACAAGGTGTAGACCATGTACAACTCTTCTAGTTACCAAAAGCTAAATTAATTTCTTTGATTCACCGTTCGAAATAACTAACTGTACTTACTTTCACAGAAGTCAGCTTACTTTCAACAGTGTGGGATCCCACATCATCCATTTGAACTTGATGCATTGCAACACAAGTAGTCCATATGATATCAAGCAGTGAGATGGTATTTTTCCACACTTATGCTCTGCATCAGTAAGCCTTTCTACCTTTGCTTCGTATATAGCTCTTCTTAGCATTTCACCGAAAGCAGAACCTAAGATGAAACTTGATAATTTTTACTTAAACTGACTAAGGGTGTCACAGTGATCTGTTTGGCTTCATTGTAAATAAGGCACTCATGTACAGAGTCTTGGACATGTTAATCAATCTCTCAGACAAGTCCGTATGCGATAGTATAACGAAATGAAGACAACGTTCACGATTGTAAGTCAGTATGTAATTTATTCTACGAACCCTTTCTTAGATATCAGGTATCATATTACTGATTCTTAGAATGAGGTAAAATGGTTTCTTCACATGTCATACCTCCAATTTTTGTAAACTGTTCAGATAGGCATCTCGTGATGGTCGTTTCTACACACATATATGATGGCGTTCACAACAAGCAAA